TGTCAGGAGATAAACTCACAGAAAGGTGCTGAGTCAGTATTTTTTTGTAACCCTGTCCTGCCCCTGCCCCTGATCACCTATCTGGGGTCTCTGGGGAGCTTTCAGGGTTGTTAATGGATGACATCAGGCCGGTTAGTGTCCTGTGAACAGGAGCATTCTGGAAGCTGAGTCTCTCAGGGGGGACAAGGGTCAGGAGAAAGAGCTCACAGTCCTGTCAGAATTGTTCTCTCTGTTACAAAGAAATGTGACCAACAATGTGGGAAGTCCTGAGCGACCGTGTGGTAGCGCTTGTGATCCACAGGTACCAATTCACCCTACAGAAAGCTGAGCAGAAATGTTACTTGCACACATATTCTCACTTGGGGCTTGGATGTATGTGTGTGCATGTTTATAACCCGCCAGTTCCCTGGAAGGTAGAGAATAATTCCAATTAGGGAGGGCTGCATACTGATTAAAAGTCTGGGCATAAGGCCCTGGGTTCAAGGTCTAGCTATGCCATTCATTTTTGGGGTGTACCTTTGACCATCTTAACCCATATCACCCGTCCTCCAACTCTGGCAGCTACCAATCTGTTCTCTGTATCTATGGATTAGGTTTTTTGGTGTGTTTTTTTGTTGTTGTTTTTGTTTTTGTTAAGATTCCATGTACAAATGACATCTTAATATGGAGTCTAAATGTCCCTAAGGTCCATTCATGTTGTTGCAAATGGCAGGATTTCTTTATTTTTATGGATGAATAATATTCCATTTTATATATAACATTATCTTTATTCATCCAATGATGGGCACTTAGGTTGCATCCATGTCTTGGCTATCTATACTAATAAAAGTGTAATGTGTTAATTAAACCAGCAGAAGAGAGCAGGTAGGGAAGTGGTCGGCAAACTGAGGCTCAAGAGCCAGGGGCGGCTCTTTGGCCCCTTGAGTGTGGCTCTTCCACAAAATACTACATGCAGGAGCGCACATACAGTGTGATTGAAACTTCGTGGCCCGTGTGCAGACGTTGGTTTTCGGCCTGGGCAAGTCTATTTCGAAGAAGTGGTTCTAACACCGAGCCACACTCAAGGGGCCAAAGAGCCACATGTGGCTGTGAGCCACAGTTTGCTGACCACTGAGTTAGGGGAATCAGGCAGGCAAGGGAGAACAGTTAGGGGGATCAGGCAGACAGGCAGGTGAGCGGTTAGGAGCCAATGGTTCTGGGGGGTCCCAGATTGGAGAGGGTGCAGGCCAGCTTGAGGGACTCTCCCATGCATGAATTTCATGCATTGGGTCTCTAGTTGTAAGTAATATTGCAATAATGAACATGGGGGTGCAGATACCTTTTTGAGTTAGGATTTTCACTTTTCTTTGAATAAATACCCAGAAGTGGAATTGTTGGATCATATAGCAGCTCTATTTTTTTTATTGTTTGAGGACCCTCCATACTGCTGCACCAACTTACATTCCCACCAAGAATGCACAAAGGTCCCTTTTCTCCACACCCTCATCTGCACTTGTTATCTCTTGTCTTTTTTGGTAATAGCCATCCTAACAGGTGTGAGGTGATATCTCATGGTGGTTAGTGATTTTTTTTTTTTTTGTCTCTTGACAGCTTTAGTAAGGTCTTTACATTTTCTAATCCTGTTTGTCTAGATTAGAATTATAAGTAAGCTAACAATCTCACTCTGTATATTGTTGAGGAAATGAAATGAAGGACTAGCACTGGTACATATTTCAAACTCACTGCATGTTAGCTCTTGAAATGCAACCCATTGCAGAATCTCTTACATCTCCTAGGACTTGACGTAATACTTGCTCTGCTTTTCAGACACCCATTTCTAGATTAGAACAGTTACTTCTCTGAAGACTTACAGGTATTGCTTTGATGAGCACATGGCTCAAAGTTTCCTGGGTGTGGCTAGGCATGATACTTTCCTCTTTATTCCTTTTTTCTTCTTTCTACTTCCCATTCCCTTCCCTCACACTCCATCAACTCTGGTCCTCTCCTCATTCCCATTTAGTTTGGATATGGCCCCATATGTTTACCGAGATAATCTGCAGTCATGACATTTGAGTGCCAGGTTTTATTTCCTCATTGCCAACTTGCTATAAGCCCAGGCAATTCAGCTGACCTCCCAGCGCAGACCAAGCCCACTGTCTGATGGGTCTTTAAGATTTGGGGAAGTATTCTGGATATCACAATGTCTAAGGCCCCAGTACTTCTGCTGCAGAGGTTAGAAAAAGTGAAGAAGTTGTGTTGTGTTTGTCTAACCGAGTTGTGGATAGATAATGCCTACTAATGCCTGTCTCCTGGTCTCTCTTAATTACCTAACATCTCAGCTTCTGCAAACTGTCCTAGTTTTACCCTATTGTCCTAAAGGACTTTTGATAGAATCCTCTTCCTCTCTCAGAAATGTCCTGGTTTGGAGGATACATTGTAAGGCCATCCTATTATTTGGGATTGCCATAGAGTAGGGTGGGCAAAGTAGGTTTATGGTTGTGAATACACAAAACACAGAGTTTATTCTTGTGTTATTACTTATTAATTATTGTATTATTTGTATTACAACTGTTAATCTACTGTTGCCCACCTTGTATTTAAGCTTCTTTCCAAATAAAAAAAGATGGTGGGTTACCAGGCAAATGATATTTTTTTCCCAGCACAATAACAAGAATGTGAGAAGAGAAATCAGAATAAAGTTGTAATTTTCAGAAATGGTGCTTCAAAGAGGGTTTTTTCTGTAGTGTGAGCTGAAATGCTTTTTTTAAAAATATATTTTTATTTCAGAGAGAGGAAGGGAGAGATAGAAACATCAATGATGAGAGAGAATCATTGATTGGCTGCCTTCTGCACACCTCGTACTGGGAGCCGAGCCTGTAACCTGGGCATGTGCCCTTGACCGAAATCAAACTTGGGACCCTTCAGTCCACAGGTTGACGCTCTGTCCACTGAGCCAAACCAGCGAGGGCTGCAATGTGTTTTAAACCTGCTTTTTGTTTTCTCATCTCATGTCTTCTTCCTGGGTAGAATGCATCTTCATCGGGAGGTGTGAATAAGGATCTAATTATACCCTGGACGAGGTGGGACTGGCCGAGTCTTTTCACCCTTAAAGTGTGCAGCCATGCTCAGAGTCAACAGGGAGAAATCATTGGAGGAGCCAGAGGTGAAAACTCGCAACCTCGAGACTATCTCTACCTGAACAGAAGAGACATGAGCTGCTGAAAGGCCGCAAACACACCGTCAAGCCCTGCCAGTGCCACAGGACCAGTGCTTCCCCTACAGTAGCTGCAACTGCAGCTGCGGCAGGAATCAGGGCTCCCCGGGAAGGCCACGTACCTGGTTACAATCCTCCCCCACGGCAGATGGGATACTTAGTCTTGTCATCACTCATGGTGCACATCACGCCTTAACCAGCGCCCTCCCTTCCCCACTCTGAGAAAGGGCACTGGGCTGCAATAGACTCGATGCAAAATGCCACCACCTGGTACACAGCTGAGAGGGAAGGGAGAGCAAACTGCCAGGGGAACTAGAGCGGACAAGGAACCAACAGGCAGCTTGCTATTTCCTTTATCAGCAGACAAACCAGAAAGGAGGCCACAAAGAAAAAGGTGGACCTTATTATTCTTTCATCAAAGCACTACCAGGCCTCCAGATCAGTTAAATAAAAGAAGTTTCTCAAACATGACATTCTAATTTATTCCTGGTTACTTGGAAGGATGGCACGATTTATATTCAGCCCAGGTTGTCTGTCTTTGAAATTCTACCCACTCACACATTTGCATATTCAAAAGCTGTGTGAGCACAAAGATATTAAAATGGAATCCACCACACGTTACAGTAGAATGACATGTCATTTATTCAGATAACCGACAGGCAGTACTCAAAATTCATTTGATTAAGCAAGTGGTTACACAAATGTCTAACAATACTAAAATCGGTAGAAGGTATAAAATACCATGGGTATGAAATGCCATGGTCAATACTATTCAACAGACTACAATCACAATTCCAAACAAAATCGTGGCTTTTTAAATGATTTTTTAGCAGTTTTGGAAGATTTGATCACTTCCCGCTTCTAAGCAATTTACTTCTATTCTTATAAGACAAGGCCATTATTTTCAAGACATATTGCAGAAGGACACCGCGTAGGTTCCTCTCTTGCAGCAAATTGTTTTTGTTTTTTTTTAATATTGCCTCATGATGGAGAAACCAGGCAGCACTCAGTTCCCCAAGCAGAAATGCTTGGGTCAGAACAGTGCCAGGCATAATGTGAGTTCAGCGGGAGGCAGGCAGTGAGAAAACTTTTGCAGCTTTCCGAGTATGTATGCAGGCTTCTCTTCTGAGGCTCTAAGCATCATAAATGTACACAGGCACCAAAGCCCGTGAAATGATGGGAATAAAGTAACTGGATATCCAAATGACTATGACAGACGTGGGGTAAGTTCCAATATAATTGTGCAGAACTTAAAACAAAAACAGCAGCTACCTAAATTCGCTTCTTTGTAAGCCTCGCTATATTTTTGGGAAGCGTAGCTATATTTGCAGTAGTTTGGCTTATCATGTGTCTGTCTGTATTAGTTTAAAGTGGTATACTTTATTGGAATGAGTCCCAAGCATGAACCTGGCTTTGAAAAGCTAGCAGCAGTAGTCATGAAACATATCAATAAATTAAAAGGTTTCCACAGAACAAGATCCAGCTAACTCCCTTACATACAAAATACAGCTAGAGAAATATGGTTCTTCAATGCTGAATTATGAGAGGGAGGAAAACAATCTAAAAAAATAGAAAAATCTCTCCATACGTGGGGCCACGGTGGATGCAACACTGCTGAATGCCACACGATGAGCTGGTGCTCCAGAGGCACCTGGAGATCTGGTAACTATGACCGAGAGATGAAAACTGTACAAAAGGCATGCATGCAATCACTGTGTGCATTCAGGGTAAGAGCTAGGACGAAGCAGAGATCTAACACGACAATGAGGCAGTGTTCTGGGGAATGCGTGAAAATCAGCTTAGGGGCCTAGATGTTGATTAAACCCTCCGAAGCAGCAAAGTGTGGACACAGCGCCATGTCGGGGTTCTGCAGCTGCTTTATGATCCTCTTGCGGAATTTCTCCCTCACGCGATTGAATTCCATGATGTCCATGGGGTCCTCTTCAATCCAAAACTTATGAAACTCGTGCATCAAGTAGCCTGTTAAAGATAAGACAGTGATACGAATGCAGGAGGGGAAAAAAATCCTTTTTAAAAAAAATATATATTTTATTGATTTTTTACAGAGAGGAAGGGAGAGAGATAGAGAGCTAGAAATGTCGATGAGAGAGAAACATCGACCAGCTGCCTCTTGCACACCCCCTACTGGGGATGTGCCCACAACTCAGGTACATGCCCTTGACCGGAATCGAACCTGGGACCTTTCAGTCCGTAGACCGATACTCAAACCGGTTTTGGCGGAAAAAATCCTTAATCATATTCAAAATCACCCTGAATGGCTCAAAGAGATGTCAGACCGAATAACAGCAACGTGGAGCTCACAGAAGAGATGAGCATTTAAATAAAAGTATTTCCCAGCAAATACCACTGTTAAAATTATTCTTAAAGCTCCACTAGGAGCTACTAATCTGCATGATTTTTGCAATTAGTTCTGGAATGATCCTCATGCCTCTCAAGCAGAAATAAAAATTAATCCTGCCTTCTCTTGAATCCGAATCACATCAGGGACCTTCTGAAAGGCGGGCAGTGGCTGCTTCATCCTTCCCCTCCTGCTTAAATGAACATAATGGCCTAATTTTTCAAAATCACTCCACTCAGCCATTTTCTCTCTTGATATCTGATTTGAATAAAGTTTTAAATTACCCTGACAAATCAAACAAATGCACCCTGACAATCTATTATGAGACAATAAAAATTGTAAATCAACTCTAAACAACATAGATTGGTCATTAAATTACATGAAATTGTTAATAAACACTTTCTTGCTCTGAAGCATAATTTCATATTCAAATACCTTTATGTCTCACAAATGTTATCTAAGAATGACCTGGATTGGGAACAATTTTAGGACAAATGTTAGATATTTGATATGGGAATCTATTCATTGAGTCCTGTTTCCCCACTGTGCTCTCTCCCTCCACTACATGCAGAACGGATATATGGACAGCTTTCTAAAAAGATGAGAGCATTATGCTAATAAGCAAAATAAGCCAGTCAGAGAAAGATAAATATCACATGATTTCACTCATTTATGGAATATAATGAATTGCATAAACTGATGAACAAAAAGAGATCTAAAGAAGCATCAATCAGACCATCAAACCTCAGAGGGAAAGTAGGGGAGGGTGAGGGTAAGGGGGTGAGATCAACCAAAGGACTTGTATGCATGCATATAAGCCTAACCAACGAACACAGACATCATGGGGTGAGGGCATGAGTGTGGGGGGATGGGAGGCAATGGGCTAAGGACACATATGTAATACCTTAATCAATAAAGAAAAAATAGATAATAGAGATATTTGTTTGCAGTAAACCTATTGCAAGCACAAGTGTCTCTATATATTAGGAAAAAAAAATCAGTTGAGAAAATAATCCTAGTTAAAAATCCTTACACACGCTCAAAATCCTTACTCCATCACTACACAAGCTCTTTTCTGTGTTTTCATTAGAAGGCAGAGGGAAGTAGGAGCAAAGATTCTGGAGCAGAAACCCAGTTTGAATCCCAGCTTCCTCACCCCCGTGGGAAAGGAGTGAGCATCAGAGATGATAGGGAGCATGGGGAGAGAATTTTGGAATAAACATACCCAATTCTAGCTGTAAAAAAACACGCAGTACCTTTTGTTTTCCTGGCAATAGCTACTTAAGAGAAAACTTTTAACACAGCTTCATAAGCAGAATTTTGAAAATTCCTATCTCACTATCCTACAAAATTACAAGTGACCTTCGCTCTCACTCACCCCCAACACACACGGCCAGATGTTGGTCCGCATCCACAAGCTCACCTGATTATTCATTCCCTACGTTGCTAGATGTGCTCGTATGTCTTTAAGTAGATGGTTTCTCTATAACTAAGGGGGGAAGGATACTAAGGAGAAAGAGGATTTATATTGCCTTTTTTTTGGGGGGGGGGTTGACTTTTGGAATTGGACTGTCTTTGGGCCGTCCTCACACATTAACATGCTAGTTAATTTATGTTAACACAAGTTAACATGAACATCCCTGATGGGGACACAAACCAGCCCTCATCCAAATAAGAAGCCCCAGATCAGCGGTATCAGTGACCCTAGGAGCCACCCCAACCATCTCTGCTCCTTGATGCTTGGATTCATGGAGGCATCATCCAGTATTGAACTCTTCTGGTGGCCACACTGACATGAGCCTGTTCCATGGATTCGTTTCTCTCCCCACCCCTCTCCTTCCACCCCCAATAGATACAAGGAATTTATTTTCAGAAAAAGAGTTCAAATGAGAGTGGAGTGATTTGAAAGCTACCAGTTCCATCTAGGTATATTATCCCTCTCTGTGGGTCCCAAACAGAGACCCTGAGGATAGAACCATTTTCCCTTATATAGTATTGATTTTATTGGGGGACATTGGTTAATAAAATCATACAGGTTTCAGGTGTACAATTCTATAAAACATTATCTGTATATTTTGACCACTCCAAGTCAAGTCTCCGTCTACCACCATTTATCCATCCTTTACCTGCTGCCACCTCCTCCACTCCCTTTTCCCTCTGGTAATCACCATCCTGTTGTCTGCATCTATGAGGTTTTTTTTTTTTTTTTTTTTTTTTTTTTTTTTTTGTTGTTGTTGTTGTTGTTAATCCCTTACCTTTTCCACTCAGCTCCCTAACCCTCCTGTTCAGTCTGTTCTCTGTATCTATGAGTCTGTTTCTATTTTGTTAGTTTATTTAGTTCCACATATGAATGAAAGAATATGGTACTTGTCTTTCTCTGACTGGCTTATTTCACTTAGCCTAAAGCACTCCAGGTCCATCCATGGTGTCACAAAGGGTAACATTTCCTTATTTTATTTATTTATTTTTTTTACGGCCAAGTAGTATTCTAAGACCCTGGTTCTTAAATGGTTCTTCCTTTCACCAAGCCAAACTATGTTGCCCTGTGTTTCTTGAAACAAAATTCAATACTTTTCCTTTTCAAGTACATGCAGTGCCCTTTATGCCCTGAGCTTCTCTCTCTCCCAGGCTAAGCATTCTATTTTTCCTCACCATTTCTCACATGCATGACTTAGAGACTACCTGGTTGTTTCAGCGCACAACTTGTTTCCTCTAATCTCAGTATCTTATTTAACCAAAACAATTCAATATTTCGTCCATCTCAGGGGCTGGGAAAAGTCTTAAAGCATCTCAAGAAGAGTAGAGGGGAGGTTCCCTCTTAAAGATGCAGACCCTCCCAGATTCAATCAGACATCACAGTTCAGTAAGAGGAGTCTCATTCACATCACTAATGTTTGAGAACCACTGGAATAGAAAACACCCTCTCTTTAAGTTCCTTTGGCTTCTTGCTAAATATTAAAAATTTTATGGTTCTAAGTGAAATCTCTGATAATATATAATTTCTCCATTCCTTGCTATATAAAGCACTCACTTAATTTTCCTGACTTGGCCTCTGAGCTCAAATATAGACACCTAAGCTGTTTCATATATAGAATCAGATTTCCAGCATTATGCATTAAAATAATCCATGAGGAATTAAAGACATTTCATTGGTATTCTCTCTCCCACTGGTTCTTATTCCTACTGGACACTTCCTTCTTTTGAAGATCAAAGAAAATATAATTCTTTTTCCTCTTCTGGCCATTATGCTTTCCTTCTGCTCATTACAGGAACCTTACTTCATCTCAGTGGAGCTGTGTGTTCAGTGGGACTTTAGACTGAATGCAGTGTTAGTAGAATGTATGTTGGCAGTGCAGTGCCCACTGAATAATACGGTACAGGAGGACCGATAGAGCTGTCATATTCTCACATTCTTTCGCCTAGACGAAACCGGATCTGAATACTAATTTGGCTTTCCAGCCCAAGCCTGCAGCCTATCTGTTGGTGCTTGAATGTGTCTTGGTTTTGTTTCACTGCAAGTAGTTAGTAGACAGGAGAGACATATGCAAGGACACAGGTAATTGCAAGAATATCACAGAGGAATCGGGCAGAATTGGTCATGTCCAATGGAGGAACGATGAATTCAGAGCACTGCTTTCTTCCTCTAGAAAGGTCTGCTTACACCCCAACCGCTGCTCTTCCTAAAGCCTGGTGATAGGAGTCCTAGTGCAGTGGTCAGCAAACCGCGGCTCCTGAACCACACGTGACTTTTTGGCCCCTTGAATGCGACTCTTTCACAAAATACCACATTCTGGCGCGCACGTATAGTGCGATCGAAACTTCACGGCCCATGCTCAGAAGTCGGTTTTCGGCTCTCAAAAGAAATTTCAATCATTGTCCTGTTGATATTTGGCTCTGTGGGCTAATATATTTGACTAATGAGTTTGCCGACCACTGTCCTAGTGCATGCGTACTCACTTGGGCTAGGGTTCCCTTGGAAGTGTATCAATTCAGCCCAAGGATAAATTTTTCTAGGGAAATTAGAATCCCTTTCTCCCACAAAGGGCATCATCCAACATTTTAGCCTCCCATCCATCCATCCATCCATCCATCCATCCATCCATCCATCCATCCATCCATCCCATTTTACTGAGTACCTACTCTGCAGCAGGCTCTGTGCTGAGGAATCAGGCAGTGAAGAAAACAAACAAACAAAAAATGCCACTTCTGTCCTTCAATGTCAATGGCTCTGATTCTAATTCTGATTCTCTCCTGTAAGAGTTCCCCCATTGTGAGGCTCTGATTTTCTCCTCAGTGCCGATGAATCTCACACCTGCCCTTGTAATTCTTCAGAGCTCCAGAGCTTTGCACTAGAATGCCCGCTATGTAGCTCCATGGGGATTTCCCAAAAGAACTCATCTCTGGCATACCAAAACCAAACTCAATTGACTTCCTCTGAAAGCTGCTTCTCTAAAGAGCATGGTAAACATAGAACAGGGCAAATACAAGGGGTAAGGAAACATAGCAAGGGGCATTACTTACATACACTTTATGCTCTTGTAATGGCTTAAAAGCTCTTTAATATATGTGCCCTCCATCCCTGCTCTTACCAATGTCATGTTTGGGCACACCCCTCCCAAACATTATTCTCTAGTCCTTAAATCTAACATGCTCTCTTGCCTTGTAGCCTTTACCTGTGCCACTCCCTCTGGCTGGACCACCCAGCCACCATTGCTTTACCTCCTGCCACTCATCCTTCAGTCTCACAAGAAGTGACATTTGCGTTGGGAAGCTTTCCCTGAGTCCCACACTGAGTGAGCTGTCAACCAGCCTTTAAATTTTTAAAAAACAGCATATTCACTTCTTCAATCACAAAATCCTTCCAACCATGCTTTAATTATTTATTTAGATATCTGTACTCCTCTGTCAGCACCTGATTAGTAGTGAAACCTCAATAATATTTGTTGGAAATGGTTAGAGCAGTTACAGGTGTATAACCATCTAGTTGTCAAAATAGGAGCTGTAATCACATATTTGAAGATTTCCATTTTCCATTAAAATGTCACAGAGTGTATGTATTTAAAAATTTGTTGTGTACTTTTTATCTAAATCACACTGAACACAGTTTAAGAAGTCTTGTTACTAAAAGCAACCTGCAGCACTTCATGCCCTAGTTCCCAAAGCAACATCTCAACTCTTTCAGCTGATTCCTGTGATTTTTGACATCCATAGCTCTAAATAACATACTTGTTGCTTGATTTTTTTTAAAACTTCCCTATATATGTGATGAAATATTAGCTCCTTTTCACCCATTCCAACCTTACATTATCACATTTCTTACCTCATATGAATAAGTTTCCTCTTTGTTTATTTGCTTAGTTTTAATTTACTTAACTTAACCCTAACTCATTTCCTAAGTATTCCAGTAGTGGTGTTTTTTTTTAATGTGTTCAAAATTGGTAGATATTCCATCAATTTCATATTCTTCAAAGAGTCTCTCCCAGAGACTTCTGACCTGCTAGGATTGGATTTATCATTCACAGACTATTCCATAGATATCATGTTGGGCTTTCTCTTCACCGTCATCCTAAAGATTCTCTTCACTTTTCTTCTATGCTAGACTTCATGCTTTCTGCACCTAATTCATTTTTACACTGTTATTTTGTGGAATTCATTAATTACACTGTTATTTTATGGAAGTGTATCTTTTTAGGAGCTTCCTGATAAAGTTACAAGAGGTATAATGTTTAAGACCTTGCATTAAAAGTATGTCTTTATTATACTCCCAATACTTAATTGGTAAATTAGACTGGACATAGAATTCTAACTTGGAAATCATACTACCTTAGGTTTTAAAAATAATTGGGCAGCTACATGCAAAAAAAATAAAACTAGACCACCAACTTACATTATTCACAAAAATAAACTCAAAATGGATAAAGGACTGAAACTTAAGATGGGAACCATAAAAAAAAATCTTTAAAAAATATTTTATTGATTTTTTTTACAAAGAGGAAAGGAGAGAGATAGTTAGAAACATCAATGAGAGAGAAACATTGATCATTTGCCTCTTGCATACCCTCCACTGGGGTTAGTTGACTTCCATTGATTTGGAAGTCAACTCAGGTTGTCGTCAGAGCCTAAGCTCTTAAGTGCTATGTAATGCTGGACCAAAGGGGATGGGGAGAGAGAAAGGGAGAGAGAGAGAGAGAGAGAGAGAGAGAGAGAGAGAGAGAGAGAGAGAGAGAGAGAGAGAAACCTCCATGATGTCTATAAATCTGACCAAAAACAGATACATTAGGTATTATGCACTGGCTGGGAAAGAGGACAAAAAAGTTCAAAGTCATCAAAGCAGCTAAATCACAAAGACAGTTCAGGTTCGACCCTTGTCTAGAGCATTGTATAGAAACCTACAATGATAATGAAACAATGGACACTTACAGAATGTTTGTTGGAAGTGAGACAACGTTGGAGCTTCTGGTGCGATGTTGTAGAAATGGGTCTTTAGGGCTCCGCTCACCAGTAGATTATATGCCAGGTCAGTTATATTGATGCCCACAATTGCAAAGGAGTAGCTGTAAGGTGCAAACCACAAGGCAATGTGTGTCACATATGGGAATAAGATTTAAAGATATGATAACCTGATTAGTAAGTTATCAGAATGGCAGGCTTCCCTTCCCTCTTCACCTTATTAAAACCCTGAATTTTTTGATTAATCAGAAAATTTCAATAATGTAGACTAAGAGAATGCTTTGTCTGGTAACTCCAATTCCAATATATGAGAGAAAAAAATAGAAAGTTGACAAAGCTTCACATGCAAAGATATTCATTATGGTATTATTTACTAGTATAATGGGTAAGACATAGAAACTATGCAAATATTCTAAAAAGGTAATTGGTGAAGTAAATTATGGTAATCTCATATAACATATATTCAGACACCAAAAGATTATCTAAGCAGAATATAAAACATTATGTATTGAAAAAGGCCAGTTTTATTATATATACATGCACAAATGTGTACAGAAAGCAGGCTAGGGTGAAATGTCGCAAAATTTTAATATGTGTATGTTAAAGTAATAATATTGGGGTGATCCTTTTGTTTACTTTCCTGTATTTTCTAAATTATCCATAATAAATCTATAATATTGGGGTGATTTTTTGTTTACTTTCCTATATTTTCTAAATTATCCATAATAAATCTATATTACTTTTAAAATAAAAAAATATATAAATATTTTAATGCTAAGGGTATATTTTCTAGTCCCCTTTCTACTTGTCTATAAAAAATTAAATGAAACAGTTATTAAATCCTATCTGGCAATATATACTGAGTGGCCAGATTATTATGATCTCTGAATGCATATTTTTATCTCAAATGGGTACCAAAAGCATTCTAGACTTTTGCTGGAGATCAACCACCTATTTGCTGTGAGGTTTCTATCAGTCAATGCAAAGGGGAAAACTGATCAGGTGCACGATTTATAGTATCTTTGATATCAAATAAATGAGGTACTCAAGAGAAGCACACTGTGTCCAGAGATTATAATAATCTGGCCACTCAGTGTATATCCAGTACATTTAAAAAAAGAAGGTTGCTGTTCAAAATATTTTTATATAAAATGGGCATTATAAAAAAAATTCTAAAGTAAATTTTTATCTAAATGCCTATACTTGATAGAAATCCTTAAAAGAAAACTATCAAATACAATTATGAATGATTTCTGAAATGATTTGTATATAGTTTCTGAACTTTGCAGTTGGTGACAGGCAACATAGTATTATATAAGAATACAAATACAAATATATCCAAAAAAATAACCTATCCTTTTAAAAATTCAACTGGATTATATATGTCCATCAGGACAAGCAGATTTTCATCCTTGCCGTCTTTGACAGTGCTCCTCAGACATTTTTGTTCTGGTTCAGAAATCCAACACTCACCCAATTGCTTTGTCCATCCTTTTTTGCTCCCATTCTGCTTTGCTGAATTTGCTGAATGAATGAATAAATGAATAACATTTAATCTTGTTCCCTTTATATTCATGTGTAAACTGTTACATAGATGTCTATAATTCAGTTATCAAACACAAGCCACAAAAATGTTGTCAATTAAAAAGCCACAATACAATTGATTTGGAACTCAGAAATGGAATTATGTAAAGCCATGCCACCTCTCCTCTGTTCACTTCAGTTCAGCTTTGGAAGATAGCTCTAAAGGCCAAACACTATGATACTCTTTTGTACTATCCTTAATTAGCCAACAACATTTCTCCCACGAACCCTCTCCTCTAAGTAGGTGCCACCTCACTCTCATGATTCCTCATGTTTGGTTTTATCTCGTGGCATTTATCCTACTCAGCCTTGTTTGTGATATCTGACACATAGCAGATGCCAAATAAATATTTGTTGATAAATAAATAGACTTAGTGAAGAAAAGGAAGAAAGGAAGGTGAAGAAAAAAAGGAAGGAAGTAAGGAAGAGAAGGAGGGAGGAATACTACATAGGTTTTAAAAAAATCTGTCTCAGCAAGTGCTACGGCATTTCCTCTGGTTAAATGAGGACAATATAGCCATAGCAATTCCACTTTTAATCCATTTTATAATTTGAGCTTCTAAGCAAGGCTGTTTAAAGGAAGGGTCCCATGATAGAAGCATTCTGAAAATACTGCCTTGCATTCCATTACTGTGTGTACTTGTGCACCCCCCATCCTCACCCCCTCCGTATTGCTAACGTCTTGTAGGCAGGAACCACATCCACTCTTCATCATTAATGGGAACTTTGTTCAGTGTTTTTTATACTAAAAAATGGTTAGCACTGGAACTAAATACAATTTTAAAACTAGATTTATAAACATTTAGCTTCCAAGCAGGAGAGAGTTTTATGCAGTACACGGCAAACACTACATTAAAAGACACACATGTAATACACACAGCACAAGAACACAATGCAAAGTTTATATTTATCTATATGTACTTTCTACCTTGTAAATGACTGCCTATAATCAAAAGTACTATCTTTAATTCATGTGAAAATAAATGTCATCTCTTTTTAAAGTGTCACTGCCCACCAACAAAGCAACCAATAAGCTAAAGAGGCATTAAGGAAACTTTTACCTTAAAAGATTCATAAACAAATTAAAATGGTTGTGTGTAAAATTTTTTTAAGTATATTTTTATTGAGTTCAGAGAGGAAGGGAGAGGGAGAGTGAGATAGATACATCAATGATGTGAGAGAAACATTGATTGGCTGCCTCCAGCATGCCCCCTACTGGGGATGGAGCCACAACCCAGGCATGTGCCCTTGACAGAATGAAACCTGGACTTTTCCATCTGCAGGCCAACACTCTATCCACTGAGCCAAACCAGTTAGGGCATGGGTGAAATTTAAGAAACTTTATATAAGTGAATTTATAAGCACCTATTTTCTCTTCTACAAATCTTTGTAAATACACAGTCTTTCCATATTTATTTATTTTTATTTATTTTCCTTCCATATTTATTAAATTTCTATCTGCATTGAAAATATAAGAGAAGCCCAAACAACCTCCACTCATTTGATTACCTGTAGGATATCCTGACCCCAAAAGAATGAATCCTTCTCTTCAGGAAACTCTCTCTCTCTCTCTCTCTCTCTCTCTCTCTCTCTCTCTCTCTCACTCTCTCCCCCCCCCCCCCTCTCTCTCTCTCACACACACACACTGGCACACCCACACATCTTCCCCCACAAACAAACAAAACCTAAGTCAAAATTCTCCTTTAAACTTAAATCTACTTTAATCCTCAAGTTACTACAGGATTTGATGGATGGATGTTCCCACAAGGAGTGGCGTATAATGCTTGCTGAAGGATAGACAGGAGTTTTTCTGAGTATCTATAGGCTGAACACCTGAAATATTTAGGGCCTGACAGAACCCATGTTGCTATCACATTAGTTAATGTACAGGGTGTCTCAAAAATATATGCACACTTTAACAGCTGATAGCTCAATTTTGAAAACAAAATGTATTTTAATAAACACTGCCTTTATAATTATTCAAAGTGTGTCTATACATTATAATTATACAAAGTGTGACAACCTATATACTTTTTTTCAGAGGACAGTAACATTTTCAAAACATTCTGACTTGTATCCAGTAAAATTTACCAGCAATTTGAAGTGATCCATATTTGAACTGTGGCTGGAGGGACAAAGCATTGTAGTTTTATCTCCATGCCCTGTGCGTGCACACATATGGGCACATGCTAGCGTCTTCTTAATCACACAAACCCTACTTCCTCTCGGATGCTGACCTGGGAGGTAAACTATAAAGCCTTTCTCAGAATGGCTGACAGACAAAATTAATCCCCCTGAAATGGTTAATCGAAAGTTATTTTAAGCTTATTGTCTCTTCCCAAGAATCCTGGAGGATCCGTGCCCTCTGGCTGATGGAACGCCACCTGACATTGCACACAGACAGCAGTCAATTTTAATTGGAGGGAGCTCAGAGCCTCTGCATCTCAGAAATAGGCAATTCATGAAGTGTAGGTAAACAATCAACACAGCTCGATTTTAGCCATGTAATATAGCAAGAAGGAGCTGAGTGACGTTAGTGGTTTCCCAACGTAAAGAAAAGGTAAAAAGAAAATAATAATTTAATCTTATGGAAGATTACAAATATAAATTTGAGAAGTATAGTCTAATTAAAGGAGCCCTAGCTAACAGAAGCTAGAATAAGTATAATAGCACTTTGTGGAGGGGGACCTGAAATCTGTTTCTGAATTTTGAGAATGATGGGATAAAACGTAGGATTTAGTTAGAAAACATGAGCACTAACAAGGAACTTGCCATGCTGAGGAGAAAAAGTGATACAAAACCATAACCGCAAAAGAGCAGAACTCCTTATGACGAGAGTGACTAAAGCATACATAACTGCTATCTATAATAATGAAGTGAGAAATGCATTAATAGGAGAGAACATTTGCTCTGTGCGAAGAACTCTCACATGGAACGGCCATCTCTGGGAGTGGGTAGGTCAGAGTGTGTGTGGAGAGGTGGTCAGCCTTTAGGGGAAACGTTCAAAATGCTGCTCCATGCAGGGAGAGCCATGGTGTAGAAAGGGTTTTTGACATCACCTATCAGGTTGGTTTAACCTGTTTTTTCCTCTCCTTAACACAGAGCCAAAATATAATACACCATCTTAAATTAAAAGATAGAAAATGCTAGTTTTTTGAAAGATTTCATGAACTTATATTTCTTTTGAAAATTTTGCCTATATTTATTAAAAAAGAAAATAAAGGCAACAAAACACAAAGCAAAGAAAAAAATACCTTATGTCCTCTTTAGTGATATCCCTTCATGTAACCAGGTAAAGAAAAAAATTAGAAAGGTAAACAAAAGGACAAATAATTTAGAACCTATAATTTTTTTCTAAAGCCTCAGCAATTCCAGACTTTTCAGTTAGTCCCTGACTTCATGACTTTCATCCTCCCCTCCAATCCCCCATCATACACCTTGTCTCTGAACTTTTCCTTCTAGACTACTTTCTCCTTCTATGCCTACCTCCTCCGTCTTCCTGGAACCAGTGACTACATCAGTCCCTTTAAATACAAATCTTCCATTTTACATCCATTTTACATGGGTCCATTTTACATCCTCAATCCCATAAGGGCCTGAAGATTTTTTTGTAGGTTATAGCCATTTAGTTCACAAAGAACAGCATGTTTCAGGCTTATGTTTTCCATTTAACATCAACAAAAACAATATGCAAAGAAAACCCTAAGGCAACCATTTAGAGTAATACGTAAATGCGCAAATAAACTTTTAAAGCACAAGTCATTCCATGGTATTTGCAAGGCAGAACTTTATAGTAATTAAGGACTCTACCTCATGCCAGCCAATTTAACAATCGTTTGCATGTAGAGCCAATGCAAACCAGTACCTGAAGTGTTAACTGTCTATTCATAATGTGTCAGAAGGGTTTGTTTGAAAGAGATTCAAGCCTCACCTTCAGGGTTTGACTCCTGAGAAACTCATCAACAGACCCATGCAGGAGATGAAGTTAACTCCATCTCATCTGGAAAGCCTAATCCTCCTTTTCAAAACTTACCTGCATTTTGGATGAAGAGAGTCAGAGAGGACCTGCTGAGCTGCTGTGGTGTCCCTTTCCGCAAAATACCTGCAGTTGGAGGGAAGAAAACCGTAACTCCATGCTTGTTGAATGCATTCACTTTAACCCAATTTGAGGCCATTTGAATTCAGAGGGGGACACCAGCTTAAGATTGTCACTTGTTTCAGCTCCAGATGACAGCTTTCCCTATTAGAATTTTCCAAACGCAGTGACAGTATAACAGGGTAGTGTAATACTCATATAGACTTGGGAATGATTACAGTAGGTTTACAAATTTAATTATGAACATTGGCATTCCCTAGAGAGCCCAAGATACCTCATTGAAGGGGGTTCCAGGTGAGGGGGGCAGAAAGAGGCTGGAAGAAGGGACATGATGAGGGACTTGGACAAAGGGCACAGAAAGGAGGAGACTAGAGGATACAGGATGCATTTCAAATGCGTTTTTCTTGGCGAATGCTCATGGAGTATTTGAATTCTGAATAATTGGAAACTATAGAGCTTAGAGATGTTAAAAATAAAACTTAGTTCTGGGGAAAAGGGGGGAAATGAGGTTTCCTAGAAGATGAAACTATGGCATGCTATTTACTTTGATGTGAATATATTTCCTGCATAATTCTAAAGAATAAAACAAGCTATTGAATTCTGTTTCAGGAAATTTCATGAAGGGGAGACAGCCAATGGATGTTTCTCTCTCACATTGGTGTTCTCTCTCTCTTTTTCTCTCAAATCAATAAAAATGAATCTTTAATTAGGATTTAAAAAAAATATATCATGCCCTAACCAGTTTGGCTCAGTGGATAGAACATCGGCCTATGGACTGAAGGGTCCCAGGTTGGATTCCAGTTAAGGGCATGGCCTTGACTGCAGGAGGCAGTGGGAGGTGTGCAGCAGGAGGCAGCTGCTTGATGTTTCTATCTTGTCAATGTTTATGACTCTCTGTCCCTCTCTTTTTCTTTCTGTAGAAAATCAATAAAGTATATTAAAAAAAAATATATATATATCACTATTCTCATTTTTAGGATGTGTCAAAGAATACAAGAACTAGCCTAAAAGGTCTCCTTCTGGCTTGAAAAAGAATGACCTCAAATGACTCAATTTAAGCTTGAGAAAATAATGAGCAAAATTAATTGAATCACATTAAACATATAAAAACCAGGATTAAAAAGAATATTTAAAATGTAAAGAGATACTCCCCAAAAAAGTTTTTTGATCACTAACATAGGAACTAGGGCACCAAGACATCATGTTAAAAATTGGCAACTTATTTAGTGAGCATCTGTCCTATCATATTTTAGAGAAACCAAATAATGATAGTGGATCAAGGGAACTGAATCTCTACAGAATCCCAGCCAACAACTGTGGGAAGAATAGCAGAATTAGAAAATAATTTTTTGCACAGTTAATTAATTGGCTCAGTGAAGAAGGAAATGGTTAGCTAAAGAGTGGATGGGGGGTTTTACGATGCAGCCGTCAAACTGTGATGCCTCTGATCCACCTCAGCCTGGGAATCAGAATGGGGACACTGCAGGCCTCCCACTGTGACATCTACCTGATCCTCCTGAAGCCTTTCAGAATACCTGTGACTTTCAGGTATAAAACAGACAAATCTAGACCATGGAGCATTTTACAGGACAATTGGCTGGGGAGCTAGCATAGCAGAGGGGTCAACGGGAGAGAGAGGACAGTGGGAGAGAAACTGCTCCAATTGAACAAAGACCAGAGACACATAGGAACCAAGTACAACGTAGAGATCTTGTATAAGATTGGTTAGAACAAACCAGCTATAAAAAGAGATTTTTGAGAGAACTGGGAAAATTGAATATGGACCGAATATATAGGACACTAAGGAATTACTAATCTTGATAAATGTGATAATGGCATTTGGGTCAATGGAAGGTACTACTCATGTTCTTTAAAAACTTAACAGTGAAATGAAAAACAGTGTAAGATTTTTATTAATGTGTCTAACTTCAAAACAAATATGACAAGTATTTCAAAACCTTGATAATTACTGAATCTGGGTGATTAGTATAAAGGGAGTTCTTTATAATCTTCTTTCTGTTGTTATCTATACTTAACGTATTTCATAATAAAAAAATTAAATAAATAAATTTGAGATTTGCTTAAAAGAATCCATCTGATTTGCCAGATAAAAGTAAAATGGTAGCTTTTCTTTTAAAAAAAGAAAACCCAAAACAGCCGAAACCGGTTTGGCTCAGTAGATAGAGCGTCGGCCTGTGGACTGGAAGGTCCCGGGTTCAATTCTGATCAAGGGCATGTACCTTGGTTGTGGGCACATCCCAAGTAGGGGGTGTGCAAGATGCAGCTGATCGATTATTTTCTCTCATCGATGTTTCTAACTCTCTATCCCTCTCTCTTCCTCTCTGTGAAAAATCAATAAAATATATATTTTTAAAAACCACAAAAACATTTTTTTTATTGATTTCAGAGAGAAAGGGAGAGAGGGAGAGAGAAAGAAACATCAATGATGAGAAAGAATCATTGACTGGCTGCTTCCTGCACGCCACCTACTGGGGAATCAATACACAACTGGGGCATGTGCCCTTGACCAGAATCAAACCTGGGAACCTTCAATCCACAGGCTGATGCTCTATCCACTGAACCAAACTGGCTAGGGCAAGAGGGTAGCTTCTTAAATTTTATGAGCCTGAGTTATCTCTCAGAAAAATGGAATGTTTTCTTGAAATTTTCTTGGAAGTAGCTTTTGGAACTAATAACTCAATTTTGTCATTTCAGTCTGAGGAGACCAGAGCCTCCCTCTAATACTTACCCATTCTTCATTTACTTACTGCAAATTGTACAGTCCCAGAAGTCCCATTCCTCGAAAATCCGTTTTAGGATCATCGCCTTGGAAACCAATTTCACACCATTGCTTAGAAATACGAGATGCTAATGGAGTATCGGGCTTTAAGAATTTCCATAACTGGAGACAAAAAAGAAAATTAGCCTTTTGACATATGCACATAAATACTCTTTCCGATTGGCTCCGATCTTTTAAACTACAACACTAGGAGGAGGTTTGCAAAAGTCAAAGACATGCAAATATATAACAAAGATTTGATCATCTTTCAGTTACCTATGACAGCAGTCCTCAAAGTATTGTCTGAACACTACTGGAGGGTCTCTATGACCTTTTCAGAGAGTCTGGGAGATAAAACTATTTCATAAAAAATGCAAATACTGTAGGTTATTTGCCTTTTCTTTTTCATCTCATGAGCACACAGTGGAGTTTTCCAGAGGCTGCATGACCTGTAATGATGTCATCCCTCTGAAAGCAGAGGAATGTGTGTTTTATATTTTAATGCTTTAAGTATTCCTGTTTTAATTAATAATCAGATATTATCTCTCACGCAAACTGTTTGGAGTCCTCCAAAAATATACAAGAGAATAAAGGGGAGGAGAGAACTGGGAAAATTTTGAGGTCATGCATTCCCTCAGAAAATGCTTAACCTATTTACCATAAAACTTTTAGCAGCATTATTAACAAAAAGAAAAATGGGTGGACTTGAGTTTTATTTCTTACAGTTCACCTATAATGATGTGACAGTAAATACATATAGCTAAGTAAAGGAATATCAATAATGTTCATGAATAACCCTAAAAACATATTATGATGTTTAAGAGTTACCTAAAAATCTTTCAACAATAATCAATTTTGTATTAATGGACAAATATAGATTCTAAACACTATGCTTGTCACTGTTTAAGAAACCAGTTCTATTTTTCTAAGCTTCCTATAGAAAGATACCTTTAACACATATAATTACTTGAGAACATGAAACACCCACCTCTATATGAATATATAATGCTTTATTAGTTCTTTCTAATAAACAGACAGAGGCATGTAAGCAAACTTACTTGTAACAATATTAATAATATTTTATATTTTCACTATACAGATACTAATATTAAAATTCCTTATTACTATTTCAACATGATTCAACTTCTAAATTGCTTATTCCATGTTATATACCGGTAGATTTTAAAGCTTTAGCACAACAGAAATACACAAATTCCTTGCTTTATAGTAAACTGTCACATATCTTTTTAAAAAATATTTATATTGATTTCAGAAAGGAAGGGAGAGGGAGACAGAAACAGACACATCAATGATGAGATAGAATCATTGATTGGTGCCTCCTGCAGGCCCCACACTGGGGACCGAGCCTACACATGGGTATGTGCCTTTGGCCAGAGTCTGCAGGCCGATGCTCTATCCACTGAGCAAACCGGCTAACATATCTGACACAGTATAAAACAATGCTCAATCATAGAAAACGCCAACAAGAGCTGTAATCCATCAAAGTTATTTTAGGTACTAATCAATAATTATGTGTGATTCAAATGATACAATATTTTATCTTAGTGGCACCAAAGGTAATTTTACTCTAAAGAGCGAGAGAAAAATTTCAGAGGAACAAAAGTAAATGTGCCATCCATGAAAGCAAAATATGAGACACGGGTATAAGAAATGTCTTTTTATTTTATCCATATAAGAACTTGCCAGTGCTCTGCATTAATCAAAACAGAAAGTGTGTCTGTGTTCCCCAGAAGAGGACTGAAAAATGAGACATTCTCTTTTTAAAAATGCCTGTACAACCATTCCTGCCACAATGAAAAATAAGTGCAAACAAAAGGAAACAGACTGTAAAGCTCATCACATCACGTGGATAATAATGTGACATGATCTCAGGGCCCTCCACTGTTTAAATGTATCTGGTCTCTCCAAGTGAATGAAATAAAAGAACAAAACCAAGCATTTTAAGTCATAAACTTCATTCACTGGCGGAATACTTAGTTTGGAGGAGTAACAGTTCAAATAATAAAATGCTTTAGAAAGGAGTTCCATTTTAATAATTTCATGTATCGAGATAGATAAGACTAATGGCTAAAAAGTGTTCTAAATTAAGTCCTTAATGCTTTAATCAGGCTCCCTTTTTTGGTAAATGAACAAAATTAATTAGCTAAAACACTTATATGATTGCCACCATGTGTATATTTCCTGTAAGGGTGCTTGAATTACTGCATTCTCATCCGACAGAGGGGTTTGTCTCTGAAAAAAGTGAGGGTGAGAGGCAGGGTGCCCCGGAGGGAATGAGGTTATTTCTTTCACGTTGGAAGCCGACTGGAGATCTGAGCTGAGGTGGCGTGGTCTGGGCCTATGGCCGGGACCTAGGACGTGGCGTCATTACAAAGCCACTTGCCAAGTGAAGGAGACCAGAGCTAAAAAGGGTGATTCCAGAGACCTATGACAAGCTACAATGTGGAAACTGCATGCCGCATCAGACTATTATCCATCGAGGTCCACGCTCCGTTTAATTCGTTCTCTGCACGGAGCCTTTCCTGCAGGCGTGTTTAAAGACGTCTGCTGGCCTCAGGTCTGCTGCAGGGCAAGGCCGTTCGTCCGAAAGCAAAGGCCCCAGTGGGACTCCCTCTTCCCAGGAGGACAGCACCTTTCATTCTGGGTTACATTTTTTCTGTTAGGTCACGGATCCCCCAGAAACGTTGCCTTTATCATTAATTTCATTTGAAATGTTTAATAAAAATGCCATGTGGATAATTCACGTAGGCAGTACTACATGAATATAAAGGGATATTATTCAGTTTCATTTCAGCCTGTGTTTACATGATCCTAAAATCCAGATCTTTCTTTTTATTCTTCAAGTAGAAACAGTGATGACGGTCTCCTGTGTTTACAAACCAAAGCACTTACACAAAACAGCTATCTATTAAAATTCCTAAACAGGAGTCAGCAAAGTGTGTCTGTCAAGGGCCAGACAGTAAGTTCTTCAGGCTTTGGTGGCCACGCGGTCACTGCCACAACTACTTAATGTTGCCACTGTAGTACAAAAGGGGCCTCAGACAACACAGAAGTGAATGAATGCCTGTGTCCCAACAGAACTTTATTTACAAAAATGGGTGGCTGGCCAGATTTATTGACCCTTGCTCCGAACAATTTTAAAAGGAGCTAAGAAGGGTATTATTACCCATTTTTAAAGATGAAGAACCCTCCGCTTAGTCAGTTAAACACAAACCATGGGCCAGTCTCTGGAAATACAAATGGGAACAAGATATGGTGTCCAGAGGTAGCGCAGTACAGAGGTGTAGAGTCCTTTCTAACCGTGTGAGCTGGGCAGTCACCTAACTGCCCAGCCTCAGTTTCCCCACCTGAAAAATGGGGATAAGACCTGTAGCTCACCAAAATTTATTGTGACGCTTACCCTGCATGACTGGCACACACTAAATACTCAGTGAATGTTTTATTATTACTGATTTTGTTTCTATCATACTTGCATTTTGAATGAACTGAAGAGGGAAATAGGGACCGCACTCCTAAGTTTGCTTGGGGAGGATAGAAAAGATGTCTAAGTTCAATAAATAAGGCCTTTAAAAAATTAAGCAACGTCTGTTGTAAAAATAACGGGTAACAGAGGGAATAGCATGAGTACATACGTGGGCACGGGGGATGGCACAGCCATCTGGGTCGGGGTGAGTGGCAGAGCATGGTGGTAATGTGCTGTCTGTGACAGGATACAGGAGAGAGAGCTTAAAGAAATAAATCGGAAAGGGTTCCAAACGCATGCTAAGGTGCAAGGGCTTTCTACAGTTAGACCGAGGGAGCCTGAAGTTTTTAACCTAGAGAGTGACATGACGAGGTAATCCCTCCAACAGTATTTAAGGAGAGAGGAGAGAGGGAGTGCTACTGGCCCAATTGGAGATAATGGCTAGAATAAGGCCGTAGGAATGGAAAACACTAGAGAGGTATTTGCGGGGAGCTCTGCAGTGAGATTGAGTGACCTTTGTAAATGCATAGCATTTCTCTAATTGGAAGCCACTTACGAGTAGAAAGGATGCCTCTCCTCAAGTTGCCAAACACAATAGTGGACCGTCCTGGCTGTGTAATTCCCTGTGTGAACCAGCGCCTGGACTAAAACGATGGTAGCTTGCTCACCTCTAAAGCAAAGGTAACAGCCATCACTTTCCTTACATCTTATAATGGTGGCAGTAAAAAATGATAACATACATACTGAAATCCTGACCACAGATCAATCGTATCCTGACCACAGATAAGTCGTATCACAAAAGTTCTTGACATGTATTTAGTGAATATAATAATTCATGCATTCACTCATACTGATTCCTATGTACCAGCACACAGACAACAGATCAGCTAAGATGGAACACAGCAAGTACTCAAATGCCATTGGTTCAGTGAGCATCTCAGCCGTGTGAATGAATTGTTCAGGTGCTTGTGGCCGGTGTGTTCATTCTATCACCTCATTTCTCTTACATTCACCTCTTATTTCCCACCTTGAAATCATTTTATTGAACTCAACTTCCTTTATCAGAAATGGAAAAAATAAGGCCATGAAAGGAGATGAAGCTCAGTCAGTGGCTTAGCTACAATCAGACAGAAGGGAAGAAAAGGAGAAAAACTATGGCTAAGAATGAGGCTTCTTTAATTTTTAATGGTTCACATCAGATCTGGCATTAATTAGTAGAGACCAATGAGTCATCTGTTTAAGTACTTACTGCTTTCACACAAAACCACAACAGTTTACGCTTTTAAAATTACATCTTATTGACATTTAAAGTTAAGGCAGCTAAACAAATTTTTTTTCTCCAATTTTGTTACTGCCTTTTTGAATTTCAGGCACTGCTCTGGACATAGGGGTGCAAAGATGAGTAAGACTTGGGCACTGCACTGGTTGGTAAAACTACTCTTCTTGCTGGTTCAAATATTGGAGGTAAATTTTTCATTGGAAAATTCATGTGAGAATTTAGATGTAAAGCCAATTTTCTCCTGTAACCTGAGAAAGCATCAGAGGTGGTTTCTGTGGGTTTCACATGGAGCTCAAGCTTAGGTTGTTTAACTGTGTTGAAAGCCAACAAGAGAAATAGTGATCGTCAAAGAGCGTCCTGGGATTCCCATTTATGACTGTTAGTGGACATCAAAGACGATGAGGCTGGCTTCTGTTTCAGCAATTGCCCTCTCGGGAAATTACCCAAGACCTCCAGAATGATTATTTATTCATGTAACTTGGAGACTATTAGAAGAGGAGGCGAAGGTTTATATCGGATGTGTTAAAATTTGCTGGGAGACTAATATGCAATTATAAATGTTACTTCTGGCTGTCAAACCAAAACCCTAAGAATCTCATGTGATCTGATGGAACGTAATAAGATGCTACTCCAAAGCACCGAATTTTAAGAAATCAAGATAAAATTTTTTAGATCAACCTTCAGAACTACTCATCTAAAATGTTTTCCAAATTGGCTTCTGAATATAGATGTCTTTTTAGGATCAAATGCCCATCACACAGCAGGTGCTTAGCACACATTAGCTGGCCTAAGTGAGGGCCTGCAATGTGCTCGAGGACTGACCTTCAGAAGCATTTCCTCGTGTTGGGGGTTATCAGAATCATAGGGCTCTCTGCGCAGCTTCTCCACGTCTGCAATAAGATTTCTGTATCCGACGATCTGCAGAAGGCAAGCCTGGAGAGAGATTCCCAACCTGTGGTGTTCAAAAAGGAAGAAACACACATGAAGAAAAGCATAACATACTTTGGCATTTGTTCACTTGATGTAATCACACAGAACTTGTCCTATTTCTCTAATATTTAGGGGATTGCCCAAATAGCATCTACCTAATAGAGAAGCACAGTTTCTCACTGCATCTGCATCGACAGCTATAGAACTTGGCGAAAACTTACCTCTCAAAGCTTAAGCTATGTTGCAACAACGTGGCTTAAGAAACAAGAGATTTTTTGTTCTTAATCCTCACCCAAGAATATTTTTCCCTTGATTTTTAGAGAGAGTAGTAGAGAGGCAGAGAGATACAGAGAGAGAAACATCAATGTGAAAGAGACACATAGATTGGTTGTCTCCTGTATTTGACTCTACTGCAGATTGAGCCTACAACCGAGGTAGGTGCCCTTGACTGGAATCAAATCCATAACCCTTCAGTCTGCCCAACTGTCCACTGAGCCAAGTCAACTAGGGCCGTGGTGGGCAAACTGCAGCTCGAGAGCCACATGCGGCTCTTCGGCCACTTGAGAGTGGCTCTTCCACAAAATACCATGGCCTGGGCGAGTCTATTTTGAAGAAGTGGCATTAGAAGAAGTTTAAGTTTAAAAAATTTGGCTCTCAAAAGAAATCTCAATTGTACTGTTGATATTTGGCTCTGTTGACTAATGAGTTTGCAGACCACTGGACTAGGGCAAGGGAGTTCTTTATGCAGGTGATTTGTGAGATGCAGAAAATATAGGTGATAATGGGTTCCTAGGGATCATTTAGTCCCCACTAGATAGGCATATCAGAACACTTCAGAAAGGTATGTGTGTGTGTGTGCATGTGTGTGTGTGTGTGTGTGTGTGTGTGTGTACAGAATCAGAGGAAGAAATAGCCCTCAGGGGCTTAGGAGTAAAAAAAAATCATAACAACAACAAAACACCTCTGCATGGGAGCATTCTTAACAGATAGGCAATGCCAAGAGTAAGAACTCACTATTTTACAAGATTTGCCATTTCATTCTGACTTCTCTAGTTGCTGAAACACTTTCCTTTAGGCTGAAACAAAATCTGTTTTCATTGTTACCAACTGGTTCAAATTCTGTTCTCTGAGCAAATGTATTTCCACCTTTTCCCCACCATGCCTATTTATTTTGAGATAGTGATTCTTTCTTCTAGTCACATCTGCAGTGTTTAAAAACATTCCCTGTTCCTTCAATTCCTTCTCATGTGACACGGTTTTCCATTGTTACTATCTTGCTCAGACTTCTCTGAATGTATGATACACTGTTTAACAGCCCATTACAACACATCACCAGAACAGAAAACAGTCTGGCAAGCGTGGTACACAATCATTACTTCCTATGATCTGAATGCTGTTTTCTCTCCTACAATCTAGGAGGTAAAATGGGTTCTTTTTAAGCTGTCACAAAACACTGCAAGCTCAGTAAACAGATGGCCCACTAATTACCAAGATTCTTATTTCATATAAACTACTGTCACATAAATTATTCTCCTCCATTCATTTGATGGCATTTTAAATCTAAAGGTGTGTATTTCCTATATACTTATTCCTGTTAAATTCTTTACAATCATTAGCTTTTGGGGTCAAAATAGTTGAATGTTGGCAACTTCCTATGATTTAACCCAAGAGTTACTCTTTGGTATATTCCTACTCCGAATTCACTCACTAAATTGGAACAATTTTGTTCTCGTGGTAGTCATTATAATCATGATGACAATGTTATCATCTTTTTTTTGGGGGGGGGGGAGAATAAGATATAGAAAGTTAAGACTAAAGTTGGGGGCAATATATAATTATGTCTTAGGATTATATATTGAAATGTAGAGGACCATGTAAGATAACCCAGAATGCTAAACTTAAGTAAAACTAAATGGTCAATTAAATGGCCCTTGTTACCATAGCACCAAAAAACCACATCAGATATTGTAATACAGGAAAAGTGAACAGTGGCACTGGGCACCCAGGAAACCAACACAGGGCTGAAAGAGTTAATTTTGAGGGAAAGAGAAGAGTGGGAGAAATGAGAGAAAAGGCCACCAGAGAAGCCAGTTCAATTTTTACTGTAGTGATTCTTATCAGCAACATTAGCAGCACTTGAAAAAATGTAATTAAAACAAAGTGATGTGGCCTTGGCCAGTGTTGCCAAGTGGTTAGAGTATGGGCCTGTGCACTAAAAGATCATGGGTTTGATTCCCGCAGGTACCTGAGTTGGAGGTTTTATCCTTGGCCCTAGTCATGCAGTGTGCAGGAGGCAACCAATCTATGTGTCTCTCTCACATCAATGTTTCTCTCTTCCTCTCTCTTCCTCCCTCCCTCCCCTCCATTCTTTCTAAAAATCAATGGGAAAAAAGTGAGGATTAACAAAAACAAAACAAAAACCAAAGTGAGGTTAATAGTGGTAATGACTTGACAAATTATAAAATATTTCCCCTAGCCTTCTCTATTTCTTGATTTATTTTCCAGAAAATTATTTAAATTAAAAAAATCTCATTTTGTCAATGTCTATTTATGGAAAAAAAGAAGTAGCAAAATCAATTTTGAGATGTAAAAACACAATCTCTTACCTATAAGGTTTTTTTTTTCCCCCCCTTAAAGGAAAGCAAAAGAATAGATGGCAAGGAAATGCTTCTGAGTGAAACATATATCTTTCATAGAAGAGACAGAAAAGATTTGCTAATTCAACCTAATCCAACTTCTAAATGTGATTATAGGTCTAATATATCTCTCGTGCTTAATGGTAGCCTTACATTTTTTTTTTTTTGTTCAACTTGATTTAAAATAACTTGTCTTATAATCACCTTCTCCGAGATATAAAATATATGTCAAAAGGTTTTAAAAAGACATTTACTGCATAATTAAATCACCTTTAAAGACTGAATAAATAAAAAAAAGTCAGCTAATTAGCTGGTATCTGCAGAAGAATGGTATGGAGACCATGTGGAAATGGTTTTGTGATGAGCCCCAATTAGCTACCGTGTTTCCCCGAAAATAAGACATCCTCCGAAAATAAGACCTAGCACATGGAAAGATAAGACATCCCCTGAAAATAAGACCTAGTGCAACTTTGGGAGAAAAAAATTAATATAAGACACTGTCTTATTTTCAGGGAAACGGGGTAGTACTTAGAATCCCTCCAAGAGACAGACATATGCAAAGTGAACTCTGAAATTCCCTTGACTACAGCTCCCTGTCGCTGGCAATGAAAAGCCTTTCTCAGGGACATCTGAAGTTCCCATGCATATCTAAAAGACAGCTTGATTGTTACCTGCCTAAACTGTCTCTAAATATATCTGCATGCAGAATTTATTCTACCCAATATCCTTAGCTCATTTTTTTTCCACTGAAAAGTTTCTGTTCCCAGTGGAATATATAAAGCTATTTTTAAATGTCATGTACATTGCCAAATGCATTTTAATACTCCCAAGATGAGTTGAATAAATTACAAAGTTCTAAAGTCTTTTTATAAAAACTATCTCTTCCTCCTACACATACACGTGCACATGTGCGTGTGCACACACACACACACACACACCTCTCTCTCTCTCTCTCTCTCTCTCTCTCTCTCTCTCTCTCTCTCTCTCTCTCTCTCTCTCTCTCTCTCTCTCTCTCTGTTTTAAATGAGATCAGAGTCTTTATTAGGTCTCCCTGGGCTAAAGTCAGGAAATTCATACCTGTCCTCTTGACCAGTAGGTAGGGACTATCTCCTGGATTTTCAGCCTGGCATGAACTAATGGAGCAGAATCGGCTCAGGCACATTTACAATTCGAACTTGGACTGTACTGTAAAACACGGGCATTGAATCGAGTGACTTGATGAATGGGCTACCTTTATTTCAGCTAATACCAGAGGCATCCATCATATTTCGTACATTCATTGCATCTCAAAGCATAAATCACAACAAAGTACAAGGTTGTGACTATTTAGAAATATGGAAATGGCACCTTTTTCTTTATTCTTCATCTGAAAGTCAAAACATTAGAATGATTGGGGGTTGGGGAGGTGAAGAGATAGATAGGTAGACAGACAGACAGATGAGCAAGCATACTATAGAAATAATGAATATGCAGCCATGACTTGTGTTCTATGTTTACAAAATAATAAACACAATTCTTACTGTGGATTTATATCAGGGTTAATTTTTTTCAGTTCCATGATGTCTTCTATAGTTTTTTCAATAGCATCAAGGTGAACACTCACTGAAGTCTGCAACAGCTAGAAAACATGTCTCAATCATTTCCCTTGTCATGAACACCAGTGACTTAAGCAGGATTTATTTAGGGTCTACTTAGGGGCTTCAAGTATTTGTTTAAAGCTTCTCCATAAAGATGCTAACCTAAACTAAACATAAAGAAAATATTGATTTAGTAGATACTTGAATTCTAGTGAATTTGAACTTTTCACAATGGGAATAATATACTTTTCCCAACTAAGGTAATAACATGAAACAGAAATATATATATTTGTGAGAATGTTAAACTGGTTTCACATTAAAATATTATATTTTCATTTTCAGTCTCAACATACCTGGTTTCTATTGTTACTGGCCACTATGTCTACAATTGAGAGAAGTACAAGGAAGATATAGTCTTAAGGATACCAAAATCTCTATATATATATAAACCTAAGCAACTGAATGACCAAATAACTGAACGACTGAATGACCAAACAACCAGTCACTATGACATATACTGACCACCAGACGCTCAACGCAGGAGCTGTCCCTGGTAGTCAGTGTGCTCCCAAAGCCAATCTCCCACAGCTAACCAACCTCCCCCAGTCCCTCTGGCTCTGATTGGCCCCAATAGGGCCAGCTGGCTAACCTCCCATGACCCCTTCCCCAACCCCCGCTGGCCAAACTCTTGCTGCCTCAAATGATTGGCCCTGATTGCCATCCAGGCCGACGGACCTCACCCATGCACAAATTTGTGCACTGGACCTCTAGTTAAATAATAATATTCAAGAATCTTGAAAAAAACACACACACAAATTTTCTCTCTTATGTGGATATTAACTATGTGCTATAAACACTGGAATAGTGACTTTGATTTTCTTGGAAAATCTTGAGCATAAAGTTAAATGATTTGGTTATTAACACCAGAGAGTTAATGCTGCTCCTATTTTCAAGTTATTTTTATTTTATGATTTTTGGAAGAGTTATAAAAAAAGATGAATTTGACAGTGAAGTGAAAAATGCACCTTACATCTGCCTAAAAATTCACAAAGAATGGCTACTTTCATGTTAAAAGTAAAATCAATTCTCTCTTCTCAGTTTTCATCAGTTTTTTTATAATGGTATATTTTGTTTATTCAAATTTTTACTTTTTGATAATGGATCTGAGCTTCCAAGTGAAAAGTTGCTGAAAAATATAGAAACAATTTTACTTACCTTACTTTTTGAACCTCTCAATGATGTTTCTATAAAAGAGATAATTTTAAAAGTGATTAAAACTTATCCTTTGCAAGTGGTTTAAAATTACTGTTCTGAACGATAACATTCTCAGTCACACCAAGCCTACGTGTTGCTTACTTCTTTGTCTCATGCTTACCGATCTTCATGGTTCTAGAGGCTCCAGGCTTGGTGTTGTAACAGATCCGCTGCAGCTCACACCTTCCGGTCAGCTTCCTCATGACAAACTTCAGACAGCGCCACAAAAATGTGCAGTAAAAATACAGGCACACCTGGATCAACATTCTGTCAAAGACAAAAGACAGCACCTTCTGCTAGGACTCTGGAAGAGAACAGGAAGCAGCCACCACCAGCAAGAAAAGCAGCCCAGAGAAAAAAAGCAGCCATTAGATGTCTGAGGTTGCAAGTTTACTTCATTTTCCTAATCCCACATTACATTATTTAATGTAGCTGCAAACCCGTCATTGGGAGGCAAGCCCAGTCTGTGAGGACACACTTGCTATGACTTAAAGCCACTCCAAGAATGCCCTATTCTAACAAGCTTGATATTCCAACTACCTGAGCACAAGGCACTTAAAAACATTTTTAATTAAATTAGCACTTTTTTATTATATTATTTATTTTATATATTTTATTGGTTTTCTACAGAGGAAGAGAGAGGGACAAAGAGCTATAAACATCAATGAGAGAGAAACATCGACCAGCTGCCTTCTGCATACACCCCCACCGGGGATGTGCCCACAACCAAGGTACATGCCCTTGTCCGGAATCGAACCTGAGACCTTTCAGTCCGCAGGCTGATGCTCTATCCACTGAGCCAAACCGGTTTCGGCTAAATCAGCACATTTAAAAATAACCAGTACTTTGAGATGGTCTTTCCTGCGGTCCTTCCCCGTGAGGGACATGTCCTGGCAACGCCCCTCTCCTGCGTCTGTAGACAGCCTGTCAGCTTGCCCTGGGTCATCCCCAGCCCATCCTTACTGCCCTTTTTGGCCACTATTTTATTTCTTCCCTGTTTACATTCTTTTCTCCTTCCCTCGGCTTCCCTGTAGGTACTGCTCTCTTCATTGAGGACCAGGTTGTGTGGCTCCCTGTCCTCTCTGCTGACCAATCCCAACATCTTTTGAACTTGCCGGCAGGTGCTTCATCCTGATAGTGTGCTGACTTTTGGTTCTCCAACATCCTCAAACTCCACCTTATGACAAGTTTGTTCTTTTTTTAAAATATATTTTTTAATTGATTTTTTACAGAGAGGAAGGGAGAGAGATAGAGAGCCAGAAATATCTATGAGAGAGAGACATTGACCAGCTGCCTCCTGCACACCCCTACTAGGGATGTGCCTGCAGCCAATGTACATGCCCTTGACCAGAATCGAACCTGGGACTCTTGAGTCTGCAGGCTGACGCTCTATCCACTGAGCCAAACTGGTTTCGGCATGACAAGTTTGTTCTTGACCCCTGCTAAAGTTTCCTTAATTGCACACTCTATCTCCAAAAATACTTCAACAGACTGTGAAGTAACTTACAATGTCTCTGGCAGGTAAATTTTTGTTTTATGCTGACATTTATTTTTAGAGGCCTGGTGCACAAAATTTGTGCATGGGGGCTGTGTGTGTGTATGTGTGTGGGGGGGGAGGGAGTCCCTCAGCCCAGCCTGCACCCTCTCCAATCTGGGAATCCCTCTCATAATCCAGGACTGTTGGCTCCCAACTGCTCGCCTGCCTGCCTTCCCAATTGCCCCTAACCGCTTCTGCCTGCCAGCCTGATCATCCCAAACCACTCCCCTCCCAGCCTGATGGATGTCTAACTACTTCCCTGCCAGTCTGTTTGCCCCCAACTTCCCTCCTTTGCCAGCATGATTACCCCTTAACTGTTCTCCCCTGCAGGCTTGATTGCCCCTAACTGCCCTCCCTTGAAGGCATGGTTCCTCCCAACTGTCCTCCCTTGCTGGCCTGATCACCTACAACTGTCCTCCCTTGCAGGCCTGGTCCCTCCCAACTGCCCTCCCCTGCTGGTCAACTTGTGGTGGCCATCTTGTGTCCACATGGGGGCAGAATCTTTGACCACATAGGCACAGCCATCTTGTGTGTTGGAGTGCTGGTCAATTTGCATATTACTCTTTTATTAGATAGGATATGTTGGTGCCTACTACTTCATGGTACTGTTCAAAGTCTCAAAATGACTCAAGCTATAGAAATAAGGAGAACCCATAGCCAGATATTCAATCATCTTCTCTTAATATTATGTTCTCCTGTAGGCAGGAATATTTCTATCATTTCCTACAAGTGGCATTTCTAAAAGATGTTTCTTCTGCAATAGTCACTAATTCCCTACAGTTCTAACATAAGGTGATCTAGGATCATTCAGATAAATTAGAGTAGTTAACCAGTAGCCTCAATGATGTGATTCATCCCTGAATATGAACCAATACCTTGATCAAGTTTCCCTTTATTCAAATTGCTCTGGCCCCAATATCTTGAACAGCCTGTGTTAAAAATAAAAATTTCCAAAGGCTAACTTGAACAAAAGCATAAGATCTATCTATAATAATAAAAGAGTAATATGCTAATTAGACCAGATGGCTGAACTACAGAACGACCTTCTGGATGAAGCCGGGGCTGCGAGGGTCAAGCCCCTTGCATGAATTCCATGCATCAGGCCTCTAGTGTCACATAAATGCAAAGGAGATGGAGGAAACAGTAGAAGAAATCAAACTGCTACACTAAAATAACAAAATGGAATTCTTTGTAGGCAATAAAAGTATGTTCTAGAATGTCTAAAATATGAGAAAATGTTCATAATATGCTTATCAAATAAAAAGAAGTTAGAAAGGAATTGGTATGGGATGATCTATATTTTATTTTTAAAAGTAAACAAAAATGTTTAATGGTAATGTATAAATAAGAAGAGAAAGAACGGCAGGATCCACAAGAAAATTGTTTACAGTGGTATTTCTGGGTAATAAAATTGTAATTTTTATTTTCTTTTTTGGTTTAGTATATTTTCATTTTTTCTATAAGGAGTATATATTATTTTAATTTTTATAAAGTTACAAAAACAAAGTGTATAAAATTATCACCAAAGCCATTAAAAATGCATATAAAATTTATATGGGGAGTTAGTTAGATTCTGCTAAAAGACAAAAAATGAATTTACTATGTTGTGAAGTCTGAAATTCAACTTTTTTAGTTAAATATGTTCCAAGATCTATTAGGATTTAGGTTATCGGATTCCAAAAAAAAAGTAATCCTAAAAATAAATTTAATGGAACATTTTAATTAGAAATTTAGTAAACCTCCATTTACTCTCCTGGAAAAGTTTTCCATTTTCCCAATTATTCGATAACTATGTCTAAGAAAAAGATTAAGCACTATCTCTGTGAACTGGTCACCAGCCAAATGGCTATGAAATTAATTGCTGGTTGGCACCATTCTATTAATAAGTCAAGGATAAAAAGCTGCCCATATCTATCCTTACGGTGTCGTGTGCAGTTTCCAGTGCAGTTTGCCTAGAATGTGGGCCAGCTCCTCAAATGAAGCCTTTTAAGTCCGTGTCAGGACTCCATGATAATCAAGTTCTTGGGGTACTAAGTCTTCCTAGAGAAGAGAGTTCTGATTACTATTTGAGGTGAATCCCTGTACTCACTCTACTTAGGATAGAAGCCACCAGGCCCTATTATAGCTCACATTAAACTGCAGGAAGCTTTCCCCGTACAACTTCTCCGACACATCTACACAAAGACCTCAAAGTGCCATCCCAGGTGGCAGAAAGCATCCAGATACGAAGTGACTTATAACCCCCTGGCCTCTTTGTATATGAGAAGAATATGCCTGGGAAATTGTTTTGCATGAAGATAGCCTTACATAAAAGAAGAGAAAAGACATGGTGTTCTATTTGCTTTTATCCCCCCCACCCTACCCCACCCCCAAGTTCTCTGAGGATGCTGAAGCTGTCAAAGTCAGGAAAACCCACTGGAAAACTTCAGGGAGGGGTTAGAGTTGCTGCATCACTTGTTAGGAGTGAGCACGATGGGGGGTGTATCATGTGCCTCTCACATAATCACATAAACAACACCACACATCACGAAAGAGAAATACCCGTTTCAGTTATGGAATGATTTATACACTGCCTGCTTACCCTTACATAACTCCTGGGCCAGTAGTTCTGATAATGCTATTCATTATCAAGGGTATAGATTTTTATTTTTTCCCTTGTTTTTTTTGGTGTTTTTTTCCCCTAATGGGCCAAGATACCCACAGATATTTCATTAAAAGGCCAGCTTGCTATGCCAGGCAGTATATTTTCCTGGCGTGCTAAAAACTATATTTTTTCAAGCCAGACTATTGATCAAACAATGTTTTGACAAATGTAATTTATTTTGCATTTAGATCATAAACCTAAATCAGAGATGGAAACACCAGGGCTACCCCTTTCTTTGGAAGACTTATTTTGGTAACAGTTTGCTTCCTCGTGAAAGGACCAGAGGAGCAAAAGGACCAGAGGAGCAAAACCTCCTTATTAGCATCTCAGATTGGCTGTTCTTCACCATCAAGTGCTGCCAGGAACTCACTTCTTTTTAAAAAATATATTGTTATTGATTTCAGAGAGGAAGGGAGAAGGAGAGAGAGAGATGGGAACATCAGTAATGAGAATAATTGATTGGCTGCTTCCTGCACGCCTTCTACTGGGGATTGAGCCCACAATCCAGGCATGTGCCTTGATCAGGAACAGAACCATGACCTCCTGGCCAACAAGGAGCTCATGTTTTAAATTCTTGGATCTATTTAAGTCCCGACATTATAAAGTTTATGGAAAAACTGCTAAAGGTCCAGAGGAGGACATTAAACATAATTAAATATTTTGTGAGAATGTTAAACTGGTTTCACATGTCTATCCTCAAAAGGAAGAAATTAAAGAAATGGATCATACCATAACCAGTTTGGCTCAGTGGATAGAGCATCGACCTGCAGACTGAAGGGTCCCATGTTCGATTCCGGTCAAGAGCATGTACCTTGGTTGCAGGCATATCCCCAGTAGGGGGTGTGCAGGAGGCAGCTGATCGATGTTTCTCTCTCATCGATGTTCAAAACTCTACCCATCTCCCTTCCTCTCTATAAAAGGAGTTACTACAGGAAGAATTGATAGTCTAATAAGGACTGCTATCAAGTAAAAGCAAGTCCCTGTCTTGTGCCTTGTTAGAAGAACCCACTCAGCAGGAGTGGGGACCTCTGAAGCAGGAGATGCACCCAGCACCAAGAGGCCACCTGCCTGTGGGGTGAGGGGCGT